CAGTGCTAGCCTCCAATGCCCGGGCCGACACTCACGAGGTCCTCGGCAGCGAGGAAAATTACAAGCTGAAGCATATCGCACCCCTACATGGAAACATATGGGTCTTAGACTCCAAACAGCTGGCGCTAGCAAGGGTTCATGGAGTCATCTCAAAGCTTCCGTGCCTTGAGGAGAATGAAATCAACGACAAAAGTAAAAGCGATGGACTTGTGCGGTTACTCGCCTTGATTCAAGTGCTTTGGCTCGTGGTTCAGCTCATCGTTCGTCAGGTTGAGGGGATCCCCTGCTCACCACTCGAGATTAGCACGCTAGCATTTTCTTCATGTGCCTTTATTATCTACCTCGCCGAGTGGTCTAAACCTAAAGACGTGGGCATTCCTTTCTACATCGACACAGATACCGTCGTCTCGCCAGACGCATTCGCGCTCATTGCTGAAGCGGCCCCCATTAGCTTTTTGCAAGCTCGACATTATTATATGCCCCAGAGCGTTGTGCATCAGGTTTTCGATGGCCGGTACCAAAAGAAGCACGTCGACAGAATGATGATACTCACAAGTATTCTTTCAATCATCCTGTTTGGAGGTCTTCATCTTTTCGCCTGGAACCTCGAGTTCCCCAGTCATCTCGAAAAGCTACTTTGGCGAGGATCGGCATTGACTGTTGCCATTGCACCGACTATCAGCGCTCTGCTTGTTCTTTTAGAGAGCGTCTGGGTTCATCGTACGGACCGTTATGCGAAGTGGAGTGTGACCGTCCTTGGACCGTTGTACTTGTCTGCACGAGCATTCATTATCATAGAAAGCTATAGGTCTCTCTACTTCCTACCGTCTGAAGCCTTCATCTCGACGTGGGCATCGAATGCTCCCCATGTCGGTTGAAAGATCAAGACCTCTTTCAATATGAGACTAGGTTGATCAGGTTTTTTGTCAGGTAAGATTCCATCGTTCCATCGCCAAAGGAGCAGTTGTCGTGGGTTCGAGCTCTACCAGCAGACAATTAGCGTTTCGTTGATTCCGCATTACAGGAGCCACTTCCTCTGACAGCGTCACTAATCATAGAAGCAGTATTCCGGTCTTCCTCGGTTCTGAAATTATCCGAACATCATCATCCGAGCGCAAAGAGGGAACAGAGCAAAGTCGGGCGAAGGAAGGCAGCAGGCCGCACTCCAGTGCTCGGGGAGGGACCACGAAGGATTGGCTAGTTTGCATTGGAGGCAAATAGGGCGTGGGACGGTGAACTAGATCAGTGGCAAAAATGTCTCATTAGCAAAGCGCGCATGGGGGAAGGGTGGTGAGAAAGGAGGAGCATGATAGAGAAGATGCTGTCGAATACTAAGTTGATTACATGGCTGAAACCGGGTATTCGACAACATCTATAAAACCGCCTATACGGAATCACCACGATTATCTCCCACAACACCACGCACAACCGTGGTTATTCCGCTGTCCCCCTGGATTACACCATATCGGAAGGGTACGACGAGTTACGCTCTTAAGTGCGCCCTTAACTCTTTTAGTTTAGCGCCACTTTGCCCCAAGCATCACTGCGCGTGTTTTTTATAAGTTGCTCTCCCTCCCTCGACTTCTTTCCATTCTTTCATTTGCTCTTCCCGTCCTCAAGCTGCGAGACCTCACCTGCGGCATTTTTGCTATTGATCCGGACCACGAAGCTCCGTGCTCCGCCACCGCCCCTCGTACTCTCCACAAATGAATGACCTGTATATTCCGAGAAAAGGTTGATCAATGTGTGATCCTGATTACGACCTACGCCCCTTTGCCTTGATTTCGGCAATAGACCAACTTCCGGGAATACCATTGCACTTGTTCGCTAATGTTGTTGACCTTCAACCACTGCCGATGTTTGAAGTCAGCGGCCATAGGAAGTTCTGCTTCATACCATTCTATGGGATTGTTCTCTATATGTCAAGTCCATCTCTTTTGTTGGATCATTTCACCAACAAGACTATACTCCAGTGCTCTGGCCAGCGTTAGAGTCCAAAAGCAACTCCAACTGGGGCCTACGCGTACATGCCCGAAGCCTTTAACCAAGAACTTACCAGTCTAAGATCTTCGGCCCACTATATGTTTCACTCGGGCTCTCTATATAGTTACGAGGCATACTGTTGAGGAGCGAGAGAAAGCATGATATGGAAACTCATTACCTAAATGAGAGCAAATATATATATATATTGGTCTTGTCTTAACATCCTGGCCCTAGAATGATTGGCATTCCGAGCTTAAAACTAAGTTAACTACCGCAGAATCTTTATATGCCATGGCGCAGAGGTCCCGCCGTGGTTGAGCTGGGGCACCAGGGGGCTCATTCATAACTTGTGTATTTCACCATCTAGATATGGTTAGAAATCCGAGGTCAATCTCAGTTTGAACTAATACAAACTTACCTTCGCCTAGGCATATTTGAGATAGTATGGTAAGCCTCGCCTATCGTGAAAGCTATGCAAAGGGGCCAGCTGATATTGCTATATCTTGCAAGACGCTATATAAAAGCTCTGGAGACGCTAGGTAGCAGGTCCGTGCCCGACGTAAAAGAAGATGTAGATATGTAGTTGAGTGGCAGCTCCTAACAGATAAGCTGAGGTTTGTAACTGCTAGGGGCTCGTGCTAATACTCCAGCTATCCGAGTCCTACCCAGGAGTAGTTCGCTTGACAGCAGGGGACTCGGACGCGTAAAAAGGACAAGCGTTTCGCTGAATCGAAATCATTTGGTATCATATGAGCAACTTCGCATGTACTCCCGCAAACCCACCGGCAGTGAATATTACCTCCTTTGCCATACCAGCCGAATGCTTGGCTCAGTCAGCCAACTAAAGGCGATCACGACATGTTTGAAAAAGCAAACTTGAATAGGGTTGTAATCAGGGCCGGAACCTGATTTCTCGGAAACAGAATCTGTCTTAACTAGGGCATCCTGGTTTCCATCTTGTTTTCCATCTTGTTTTCCATCTGATGAATCCGCTTCCATAGTAGCCAAATCTTGAGGGCTATTAGCTTGATTCTGAGACTGGGTCACAAAGAGTATACCTCAATTCGCTGCTCCAGAGAAGCGATCGCGACTGCAAACACACTAATATATAGGATTGTGGTAGTCAAGTCAGCGTCCATTTTGACGGTGAAGGTGGGACAGAGAGAGAGAGAAACGGAATGTGGCAGTTGGAGCCCAGAGGCAGAGGCAAAAATGTGTAGTTGAGCGAACAGAAGACAACGAGGAGGTTGAACAGAAATATAAGAGAGATCCGGAAGTTTTAATTATTAAGGGCACCAGTATGATTCAATAGTTACGGATAGTCTAAAGGATAGGACTTGGGACCGTTGCCCAACTAGTCTTAGTCTCATAAGAACATACCATACAGAGAGCGGAGTGCCTAGACTAGCCGCGGCACTCAGCCATTGTAATTTTATAGACCCCTTTTACTTGAGTTCCCCAATCAATCCTCTAGTTCGTCACATCCACACATCTTTTGTGCTATAAATCAGTACGTCGTATTCTTTTCTCTGACGATTATAATCTCTTCTACCGCTTGGTGGTTGAAGTGGTTTTCATTAATTTTTATGCCTTTGGGCTTATTGTGACTTGGTTCGCAATGACGTAAAACTGACCACCTGAGCGGTCTACCTCATAAAAATCTCAAGCCCAACGTGTACATGCCTTCCATTCGATGGATTTGGAAGTCTGCGTCTCTACGACTCCCCGTTGTGCTTGTATCCTCTGGTATGAAATCATTTTCAGTAGCGTAGAAAATGAGCTCCTAAAAGGTAATCGTTTGTGGGTACAAGTCTCTGACTAGTCCTTGCGGTGCTACCGGCTGACGGTAGACTAGGAGTAAAGCTTACGATAGAAATATCTACTATCTTCCCACAATCCTATTTGTTGCCATCAACTCCAGCCCTTTCTCTTGCCACAGAAAGGGGAAAAGATCCACCTAACTCATCTTATTATTCCAATCCACTGTGTCTATATCTACCTTCTCACACAGCTGCATTGTCCGTTTGTGTACTTCAGCGGTAGGGAATCTACGAAGCAATGGGCCAAGACGTACCTGTCCCTACCAGAATATATGGAAAATGATTGGTAATTTAAAGGAAGAAGGTTTCATCCTTTCTGATTGTTTCTTCTACTCTAATCTGAACTTGACATGGAATCGAGATCTCATAAGGTACCTGAGACAGAAATTTGAGGTCCTCCGCCTGGCAACGCTAACCCTAAGATTTTTAGTGGCTATTTGCACTTTCCACCTTTGAATCTATTGTTTCTCAACACAATTTTCCTGGTCTATCTTGACAACTGTTTCTCTTAAGAACCAGTAGTTCCTTCCATGGTTTGTAATATTTTCCTTCCTATCTTCTCCTGTAGTGATTGTCCTCTTTTCCCTCCTCACCGTTCCCATTTTCTCTGCTTTCACAAGTATATTTTGCTTTAACCATGGCTTCTCTTCCACTTTGGGCCCTTATCCTCATCGGAATCGTTGCTGCCGTCTCCGGTATCTGCAGCATCATCACCGCAGTCTGCAAATGCCGTAAGTTGCTCAAGAAGCGGACTCTGCGTCAAGGAGTTGAACTTTGCTGGATTGTTCAACGTGATAAAGGCAAAGATGCCGTCAATGTCTAGGCGAATAAGATCTTCTTCAGCCATGATTAAACAAGGAGATTGTGTTCAATGATAGATGGCGGGCAGACGGTAAAAAGCTGCTGGGTAGTTGATTTTGCATCTAATGGTAAGTCTTTTTCCTTTATAACATCTCTTGTCACTTCAGCGCCTTTCCTTTGTTTGTCATTCCCGCGGCTGTTCAGTGAGTCCTTTCAGTCCCTCGGCAAACGCCCAGGGCCCTTCGCTGCCTCGGGAATGGGCGACCTCGTTTCTATTCACACCCGAGGCAAGCACTTGCCCGGTAGTACATATTTGGTAACCTTCTGTATTCTGCACATGTACGCCAGTCATCACGCCTCTTATCACGCCTCAGTTTTCGACATGAGTCTCTGGATATGGTGCGTCGGCCTGGTACTGGGTCTGAATTTAAAGAACTTACCTTTCATGTGGCATGTGAGTCCAGAATTGTATCTTCTTTTCTATAGAAACGGAGGCTAACTTGTTAGTTTCGATTTTTTGGCGCCCTCGCAATGGGCTTCCTCTCCCGCGAAAGGTCAACGATGCGCTAAAATACCACCACGTCTTTCTTCCTGTAGTGACCAGATCACGGTCTCCCGTGACCGAGTGTGACTTCAATTTTCATAAATCAAATTCGACTTACCTCACCGACCTTGATGCTTCAAGAGCGCATCTTAGCGGGTTGTTTTTTGCGCCTATCTTCCAGAAGACCACAGGTTCGGTGCGTTGCAATTTGATCGTCAGCGCCGTTGCGTGCACCTTCCGTCGAGAAATCAAGCCATTCCAGCCGTACGAACTCTGGACCAAGGTTGCGAGCTGGGATGATAAATGGATTTACATGGTCCCGCATTTTGTCGACAGAAGCAAGTTTCGGCCAGGATGCTCTGTGATGCAGGCCGATACTTCAAGCCATAAAGAGAAGACGACAAAACGAGTGCCTCCAGAGGGAGATCAAACAAAACATGTGTTTGCTTCTGCCGTAACTCGGATGGTGTTCAAAAGAGGTCGCTTGACAATACCGCCTGAGCGTGCTCTAGAGACCTGCGGCCTTTTGTCGGTTATGACGATCGAATCTCCCACCGAAGCATCCGAAATGGACGCCAAAATTGAAACAACAAAATTGGCAGCCGACTGCCCTGAATGGACACGGAGGGAGCTTGAGTCATATAGAGAGACAAATATCCCAATTGTGCGGCTTGAAAGGGGTTGGGATGCCATCCATGAGCTATTCAAGGGAGAGGAGACCGTGTTGGCAAGGTACGGCGACTTAATGTGGTGACGATCAATGTACGATAGAAGGACTTTAGAGTATATTTTTGCTTTGCGTGGATAGAGCTAAGCTTGGACTGTCACCCGCACATGCCCATATTGCTTACCCTAGTGCTTAGTGAGCCTGCGTAATGGCTGGAATAGTTCAGGTGATACTCTCGTATCATATCTTATTATTTTCTAAAGGATCCCGTTTAAGATCGCAATCAGCCTTTGAGAATGAGAAGCCTACTCCTTTAGTTGATGGTTAATTAGAATATATGAACACATTGACTAGTGGCCCACCAGACTGCTAGCCGTATATGCCACACGCTAGTGAGCTATTTATAGTGTGGGTGGCCCATTAGCGACTTTATATTCAATAACAAGTTCGGATCTCCTAGGGGGCTCCTCTTCTTTACTATCATTCGGATCCTAGGAGAACATATGTCAACCGGGAGAAGCTAGTACTAAAGAGTTCTGATCAAAACAATACTCCTATAAAATCAGTATAGGATGGGAAAGACACGTTAGAGGTTTAGGCGCGTGCAGGATTCAAGTGAATAGAAGGGGCCTTTCTTCGAAAATTCAACATACGTTTCTTTCCCCCACTATTTAACTCGCCTAACTAACAGGACTGGCCTGACAACTAGTACTTCTTTACAATTCTAATTCTCTTATCAAGTCCAACTTTCAGGGGGCCTTATACCTCTTCGTCCCTAAATCGTGCTCGTCACGATGATATATCTAGCTATCTTTCGAGTCCTCTTTTGGCACATCTAGTGCTCAGTATGATCACATGGTGTATCCCTAGAGAGGACCGCCAATACTTGGGACAAAGAAGCTAAATATACATCAAGATCATAGAATCCATTTCCATAACGCTTTTCCTTTACAATTCTGGTCCGCTCCTTGTAGGGGCGGAGCAGAGAGGGGTGCTTGTTGGAGCTTATGCTCAAGAGCAAACTGTTTGCTAATGATATCGTTTTCGGCACAAGTATCCAGGTCCACTGTTGTCTTGAGAGTTCCGCATAGGGTGGCAGAGGTATGTAATAGAAGGGGCTTTTCTTCGAAAAATCAACAAAAAGCCAAATAAAAAACATACAACAGTGAGGATTCGCTGGTGGTCACCCACCCAACTACTAACTCACCGGCGTGTGGCTTAAGTACGGCTGAGCGGACGGGAAGCCCTGTTTTCCACACCCTATGGTCGTATGTATTAGCTTATTTGCGCATGGTAATTTCCTCGACTGCGAATTCGTCTGCTACGTTGCCGCTCTGAAAGCAAGACAGATGACAGGCGAGGAAAATGTAGATGAACCAGACTTCGCTTCTGTAGGGAGTGATGCCGGCGATTATTGAAGTTAGGGAGGGTAGGGAGGATGTTTTTGTTAGACCTCGCGAGGCGGGAGAGCAGGCCAGTAAGCCCAGTGGATCAGTTGCATTTTGCCTACACCGAGTGGGTCGAATGGCAGAGAATGGCATTCAGGCGCCGAGTGCAATATTAACAATAGAGTACAGAACAGAACCTAGAGTATGGAACAAAACTCCAGCGGGGTTCAACGTAGAATATTTACAGCACTATGTCCAATCATGTCGGCAACTCATACCTTTGGGTTTGCCTAGCCGGGAGCTCGTAATTCTTTGCATTCTGAAATGCCGGCATCTCATGAACTCTTCTTGCCTCAAGCTCCTGAGGAGCACGGGCTAGCTGATGAGTAGAATCGACTGATGTTCTCACCGCTTTATTAGTTCGCCGACGGAAGAGAAACACGAGAAGACCTCCGACCATAATAACTCCAGCCCCGACACCCCGATCCCAACCTTTCCACCGGTCGCGATCCCCGAAGATGCTGACGACGATTGTGAGGATGATTGCGAACTAGGAGGACTTGACGTTGTAGTCGATGTGGCTGTAGAAGCGGTCGAAGTCGTCGTCGACTGGCCGAGGATCCGAGGAATCTTGATCGCTCTCGAGGTGCCGCAACAGTCCCGGCTGGTGCCACAGCACCAGTAATCCGAGTCTGGCACGTTATCGCTATCGCAAGGGATCATTCTTGCATGTCCACTGTCATCATTCCACTATTAAACCGAAAATATTTAGCGAAGAACAGTCGATATCAGAAACCAACACGGAGGGGTAAATCTTGCTTTAGAGTGGGTCATTTCCCGCCCCATGCTCTTACATTTTGATCCAGACAGACAGTCAAGCAGTCTTTAGAGTTCCAATCTTGAGTGACACAGGACTCCCGCCAATAGCTAGTGCCGTAGTCCTCCACATTCTGACATATTCCATTCCTAAGGCAAACATCCAGGGTATATGGACTCGTTTCCTCTGAGCGGTTCGTGCCACAGCACATGCCCGAATTGCATGGTTGGTACTCATCACTCGTCTCCAGGGTATGGTTGTATGTGTAGCAACCACATAGGACGGGTTGAACGAAGAGGAAGTAAAAGAAGAAAACAAAGAGAAGTGACCGGGCCCCTTCAAAGACCCCCATAGATACAAAAAAAACCCCAAATCCCTATGATTTTATTGTCAGAAGACAGGAGCAGCGGTGTTTCTGAGCAATCCTAGCTACAGGTCGATGCTTTAACGGAAAGGAAACAAATGGATGTTCAGAGAATAACCCCGGGAAGGAGGATACGATAGGTAAGCTACAAGAATAAATGTTTAAAGGGGATGGCCTGGAGCTTTGTAGAGGGACTGGGGCCAGGTCAGGGGCTATGTGGCGGAGGTGTCTCTATTTCTCATTACGCAGGGAAGATTTTCGTATCAGCAATTGGCTTTGATGCCAGGGACTTATTATGCCTTTCAGCTGAAAATATACGATCTACAACCTAAAATATCTCGGTCCAGTTGCGGAGGCCCTCCAAATCTGGCAGTTATCCGATCTTGGTCCCCACTTCGGGGAGGCCACGCCCGGGCGGGGCTTAAGGAAATTCGGCACACCGACTGAATGAGGGTTAACCCGAACAGGAGTTGATAACCACCGTGGGAGACCACTTCGGACAGTTTTCACAATTTATACCTCATTGTCGAATTGCGAGCCAACAACGTATCATTAAATAGTAGTTTGAAAGTGAAACCAACGTAGATGTGAGGTTTCTTATGTAGAAATCAAGTGTCCGTACGATGTATTTTGTTCCCCGAAACACTAAGGTTTTTCAAGGTTCTCTCCCGCCCCACTCCGATCGGGCTAAACTGAAGGTCACAGGATGCGAGGTGGGGACTGCATTTACGCGGGAGCTAATAATCAGTTCGCTACTCAATGCTGACCCCGTCCTTTTTTCCCCCTTGAATGGGATTACCCGAGATGTCGCAGAATGGCCATACATCAGCAAAACCAACTTCCAAAGAGAGAAGGCAACGTGCTTTCCATCAAAAGGTTCGAACTGGTTGCTTGACATGCAGGTACGCAATCCCCTGGACCCATTCATCTTTTCAGGTGCCCGCCAAAGAAAAGCCCACAGGATCGTTGAAGCTTACTGCTAGGGTTAGGATTCGACATAAGAAATGTGACGAAGGTCGCCCTGCATGTCGTTTGTGTACCAGCACCGGACGCAAGTGTGACGGATACCAGCAGAGCCTCGACCGACGAACCCGAGTCGCCAAGGACAGTGAACAAGCCGCCGCGAGCCCCCTTCAACATCGCACTGCAGACTACCAACAAAGACTGGAAAGATAAATGGGCAAATTTTGTTCCAGAACAGCATGTCGCATCAAATTCGTTCGCTCCTTTGACGCCTCTGGTCGACGCGAGCCAAGTGCACCTAAATATGCCCGAGAGATTCTTTTTCAATCTTTTTCTTCGTAACACATGCCACCAGTGTGCGGGGTACTTTAATGACGAGTTCTGGCAACTACTTATGCCTCAAGCCAGCGAAATACAGCCTGCCGTCCGGCATGCAGTGATCGGTATTGGTGCCCTACATTGGAGGTTCGAGTCAAGGACAATTTCTCACAGCGCTGATGTTTCACTGGATCGCTCATTTCACCTACGGCAATGTAGTAAGGCTATCGCATGCCTTCAACAAGACCTTCTTGCAAAAGCCCAGCCCGACATTGCACACATGGAGAATGTGCTAATCACTTGCGTCGCTTTAATTGTCTTGGCTCTTTTTCAAACGAACGTCCATGCAGCCCAATCTCATGGAATCGGCTTCAAACTGTTGAAGCAATGCCAGGAACAAAGTGACTTCTGCAATAGTTCCACCGGGTCAATTTTAATACGAAAGTTTATTCAGTTAAAGCTCCACTGGTTGGCATGCACCAACCCCGAGACTTTTGTGACCAGCAATCAAAGTACACCCCAACAGCTTCAAAACACTGGGATAAGAAACCGCTCGCATACTTCATATAAAATGCAGCCGTCGCAAAACGAGGATGGGAAACTGGGTTTGCAGCCAACGGAGCGATCGCTGGACTCCGAGAAAGCTGCAATTTTGAGCAACTTTTGGGCTTTACAGGGTCAACAAAAGCAAATCCCTACAGCCTATGATGCTACATCGCGAAGAGATTATATTACCCAGACTTTACTTGAAATTTGGAACCAGGTGATATATATCAAAGCCGCTAGCGAGGCTGTTCATAACAACTACGAGATGGCATATGACGGTCTTTTAGATCACTTCCGCCAGGCTGTTTGGCTGACGAAAGCTCTTTTGGCGTCCGATTCAGCTAATTCTGAGCCGCTCATGCCTACATTCTCCGTGAGGGCGGGCATCATCCAACCACTGTTCTTCTGTGGCTTTAAGTGCCGTGACTGGACAGTACGGCGAGAGGCATTAGGATTGCTGCATGCACGCCAGCGGCAAGAAGGTATCTGGAGGACACATGAGGCAGCCCTTGTTCTGGAGCGCTTGATTGACATCGAATCGGAAGGTGTTCTAGTAGAAGGGATGGTCCCAGAATCATTTCGTGTGAATTCTGTACGAATAGAGGTTATTGATGACTCGAATGTTCGTTTTTGGTATCGAAGAAATCACGCTCACCAGGATAAGGATTGCAATGATTTATGGCATACTGAGTTGCTATCACATTGAAATAATTTACCATCCGCGGTTGTTTACCCGTTTTATGGCAGGAGGGGGGTTTGAATTGAACAATGTCGCGAGTAATTCCGTTTTTGACCTTCCAAATGTTCTTGAAGCATATCCGATTTTCGACCGTTCGGTAATTGCTTACCAGTCTAAATGACAGATTCACAGGGTTTCTCCAAAAGGCGCCCCGCGCTGGTGACATTTCTAGCGAAATTCAGGATGTAATATCCCAGCTATAATTATGAAGCAATTGAGTAGAGATGTTACTTGACGGGTCCAACCTAAAACAGCTCTTGCACACGGGCACATCGACTGGATGAGGCTCAACCCCGCGACCGAACTGCGGACAATCACGTCCCTGGCCCCCTTTAGCGGCTGCCTGAATGGGAGTGTCGCATCACATATGAGATAAATGGTGGGGACGTGCATTTACGCTTGGTCCAATAAGGATCCTGTCCCCTCTTCAACCCTGCTGCCCACAATCTACCTAGGTAGGTGACTTCAACTTTTCTTCTCAGCCTGAGGATCGTCCTGAATGACACCGTATCTTTCCCTGGAATTGGTCTTTAGAACATCTTTTACGTTTTCCACTTTACACCCCGAACCAACGACCTATCTCATCCAGCTCAAGAGCCTAATCGATCTACCGTCTATTATGGCTACCGAAAAACCCCTATCCCATAACGATTACACTGTCGGGTGGATATGTGCCCTACCACTGGAGATGGCAGCCGCGCAAGTGCTCCTAGATGAAATCCATGAAGACTTGCCCGTGCAGCCGAATGACCATAATGCCTATACTCTTGGAAGCATTGGGAAGCACAATGTTGTGATTGCATGTTTGCCTTACGGTCAATATGGCATTGCATCTGCTACCACGGTTGCCATGCAGTTATTATCCAGCTTCCGCTCTATTCGATTTGGTCTGATGGTCGGAATTGCAGGAGGGGTACCAAATGAAGATGTGGATATCCGCCTGGGTGATGTTGTGGTCAGCAAGCCAACGAATACACATGGGGGAGTGGTGCACTTCGATTCTGGTAAAGCGCTGAGTGGTGGCGAGTTTCAGCGAACAGGCATGCTCAGCCCTCCACCTCAGGTCCTCGTGACTGCTCTTGCCAAACTGCAAGCAAATCATATTACGGGCCAAAAACTATTTATGGATTTTCTTGGCAAGATCGAACAGAAAGTACCCCAGTCTTCTGATTTGATCCGCCCAACCCAGGGGGATCATTTATATCTTGCCGATTATACTCATGTCGATACCGGTTCTAAGACTTGTTGTGACTGTGATATGACCAAAACCGTTCCCCGACCTTCGAGGGATCCAAATCAGTCTATAGTCCACTATGGCCTGATTGCATCTTCGAATCAAGTGGTGAAAGACAGTCAACTGCGGGATCAGCTAGGTCATGAATTAGGGGCTTATTGCGTGGAGATGGAAGCTGCAGGAATCATGAATAATTATCCGTGTCTGGTCATTCGTGGAATCTGCGACTATGCGGACTCGCATAAGAATAAAAAATGGCAAGGATATGCCGCGGCAGTGGCAGCAGCATACGCCAAAGAGCTTCTATCGGTGACCCCAGTCCTCCATATTGATCAAACACGAACTGTGCGAGACACTCTGTCCGATCCTGGTATGTATATCTATTCCACAACACTTATTGTTCAAAGTATACTTACCATATTTAGACCTGTCGAGGGTGACAGTTCCTTTCCAGCCTGATCCACCCGTTGTGATTAATCAGAGTGAGCTGGGTGGAATTTATCTAGGCACGATCAGAGGCGAAGAGATAATCCCGAGGCTAATCCAAGATCTTACCTTTTGGAGGAGAGAGATCAATGCTCTTATAAAGCAACTACTCTCAATGCACCCGCATTGGTGGGTAGATCGACCAACGGAGACAGTGAAGACTATGAATGATTTCTTCGCTCGCAACAGGCTCACATTTAGAGTGAATAGTTCTTTCAGGCCGACTGACCGTCCAGAGTACTCAGAACATGATCGTCAGTACCTCAACACCATTTTTCATCATAACCTAGGTCGATAAATGGGTACACTCCGACAGAAGGTGTTGATGATATTAATTTGGGTATACTCAATTTGTGGTCTATCCTTGAGTTTCTAGATCGATGAATGCGTACTGGAGAAGATCATTCTACAAATACGCTTATAGATAAACTTATAAAGTATCTTCGTCACTCTGAGCTACGTGCCTTCGCCCTCGAAGTAACTGATGGAATTGACCATATAATTCTGGATCCTAATGTGCGATACTTGTCGATTCCTTCTCGAAGGGAATAATACGACGTACTATGATGTATTTCCTCTAAAAGGCCCAAGACAAAAAAAAACTTAGACCCGCTGAGGTGATTGATGTTTTATCACCCAGTAGAAAAGTTGTAGCCACCTAGCATATGATCTAGAAGCCAGTCCTGCTGGTGACTGCAGTTTCTATGATTCCGAATACCCTCTGGATTCTTGTACTCGTTATGTAATTTACGTAGTAATGTACTAACTAGTTACACTGAGCATACTCACGTGCTATTACGTCATACATATCTCTAGCAAAAGCCCTTGGAAGCTTCGAGGTTCGAAGTAATTACCAATTATACATTATTCATACTGTGTAGAAAATGCATTTGTCAGAGTTAATAGATTATTAGGATTATTCAAGTATAGAATGTATAGAATGGGGTTGTTGTGCCTTGAAGTTGCTGGCGGCTTGTCGAACGCCCCACAAGTTTCTGGATGCTTCCACTGGAGTATAAGCAACACCATATAAAAGCAACAAAGATATAAAATGGCAGATATTCCAGGACAATTAGAATAGAACAATCTATCTGAACACAATCTACAAAGCCTTTCAGATACTCTCTATCTTTCTTACAACCTTCCTCAATTCAAATATCTCCAAATCCAAAACAATGGCCTTCTTCTCCGAATCCGGCCTTTCGCCACTCTTCCTCCTCAACAACTACGAGGCTCCAAACCAATACAAGCCCCGCAAATGTCACAAGTCCTACCAGTGCTCCAAGCTCCAAGGACGCAACACCTTTGCACCAGCATTTGACGTGCGCGAGTTCACCAATGCCTACCACTTAGACGGCGAGCTCCCAGGCGTGGACCAAAGCGACATCGAGATCGAATTCACTGATCCACACACCCTGGTAATCAAGGGCCACACTGACCGCGACTACAACAGCAATAATGACAACAATGATGTCAGCTCAAGCCGCAGCTCATCTCCTGCAGGCTGGCACCAAGCCACAGTTGAAGACGAGGATGCAGCATCGACTAGCTCGGCCGACACCGCTGCTTCCAAGACTGCTTCTGCTTCGCACACCGAGAAAACCGAGAATGACAAGCCTCACTTCTGGGCTAAGGAGAGGTCGATCGGTGACTTCCAGCGCACTTTTAGCTTCAGCGCGCGCGTGGATCAGGACTCTGTTCGGGCGAGTCTGAAGAACGGTGTCTTGTCTGTTGTTGTGCCGAAGGAGCCGACTCCTACCCCGAAGAAGATTCCTATCCTATGATTTGAAACATGAAATCATTTTATGGCTGGTATTGGCTTAAATCCAACTCGGTATAACGACTGCATTGGGATCTCGGGTGGCGTTTCTTTCCTTGCTGTGTTTGTACTTTGATCTTGACTTATGATAATTAATCGAAATTGATATTTATTATATTGTTACTTCATATCCCACGTAGACAGGTAATATACATTTACATTATTCAGTAAGCTATAGAGAACTTAGCCATATCAACCCTACGCCTGTAAGGTTAAATAGTCTGAAAACCGTGGTCAACCACGGTTTTCATGTTCCTCGTATAACAGTTTGCCCTAACTTAGTAAAGGCAAAATGTATCACCTATCGTTGATGAGGTGGCTCTGGGAAGGACATTACGCATATGGATACTTAGGCAATCTTAGATGAGAAGAGGCTTTCAGGAGCTCTACTAGGTTTTCTCGCGATATATAGGGGTAAGAGCTTCTAAGCGGATAAATTATTATTTGTGATACTTGTGACTTAGCTTATATAGATATATAGGTCTCCACACTAGATGAGGTGTTTATATAGCTTATATAGCCGCTGGCCCTTCCCAGCTCTAGTTTCGACACCTATAAGCCACTTTATCGATCACTACCTTATTTCTCCTATTTACGCTCGTGCGTCTCCGTAAGCGGGGCCGTGCACACGCACTCTAGAGATCAGCTTTTGCCCTGCGGGAAGTAGGGCCTCTCGTACTATTAGACCTTGACATTTCCCATGGGACTATAAACAATGCAAACAGGGATAAATATGGCTTTGTGCTAATTTTTAAGGAATTTCATTTACAACGAATTCACATATGGATGTATAGGATAGAAATATATCTCTCTCTCATAATACACACTATCTACCATAACTTCCTCTTTACACCACTAAAGAAGATCACTAGGCTTTAAATTTTACTTATGTAGGTCGTAACAATATTAGATTAATAAATACAGGTTCGTCTCATAAAATTTCAACTGATGTTATAGGCACAATATGGTTGAAGAAGAGGACTAACAAAACAAGTGTAAATAACGGTAAGTTGATCTAGAGAGCAAGCTATCCTGGCCATTCTGATTAAGGAGCCCATTGAAATCCGGATACCTATATTTTTTTTAAGACTAGTGCTTTCTAATCCTATAAGGTGACTTCTACCCTTTTTAGTATAACGAACTTTAAACCGCGGACCTACCTGGTGCTCCGTGCTTTTACTAGGTAAGTTGAATCGGCACGTCTCACCACTCCACTCTAAAGCGGGAATGAGCGAACGAAATCAGCGAATGAATTTGCTACCTGCTCGAGTAAGCCGTCTGGAAGAACAACACCAGGGCCCAGAAAGAACACTCTCCCTGCGACCCTATACTCCATTCTACACGTGATATAGCCAGCCAGGACAGCTCCTCCTCGAACAGGCGGCGCACGCCCAAAATAGGCAGAGGCCGATCACAGACACAGGAATACACGCTTTTAAAGAAAATCGTGAGTGGCAGAGGACCGAGATGGGCAGAGGCCAGGCAGGGGCATAAGTAATACATACTTTTAAGGAAATCGCGAGTAACATAGGACCAAAATAGGCAGAGGACAGGCACAGGCGCAGGCAGTACATGGTGGAGGCCATGGGCGACTACCGCGATCTTGTTCTTTTCCAAGCTGGAAGTGCGCGGATGGCTCGGGATGCGGCAACAACTTCGCTGATCTCTAGATTCTTTGTGCTTATCGGCTCGTTACCAGAGCAAACCTCTGCCGTTTTGGTGCCCTGTGTCAGTGCGCTGTAAAGGCCCAGCCCTCAAGATCACTCTGGCCCTAGAACATCTTTGCCCGGAAGGGCTTAGTTATGTCTTGGACAGCGGGCTAATCGATGGATTCAGGGGTCTGGACAGCCTTTGCCCCTTATGCGGGTGTTACAATCATTCGATCTCGTTCCTGACTCGCCACTTGGACTATACAGTTAATATATACATACTGACCCGAACGAGGAAAAAGTAGAGGACATCTGGATTCCCTGAAAGCGTGGCTACCTTTGCTTCGAGGCAAGATCTGCAGTCACCATGGAGATCACGGATAGCCGCAACCCGTGTCAGAGCTGTGATGTCAGCCAAGGTACCACGAGAGGTAAAAGATGGGGGGGTGAATCAAGAAGCTCTGTCGAGGCCAGTTCTAGGAAACGCACACAAGCTTGAGTATCGAATCAGAAGGACTTTGCTAGTTTTCTACCAAACCAGACACTTCAGGGTACATATAAATGATAGCCACTTCCCACTATTGTTGTCGTTCGGATCTGTCTCGAAAAATAAGACTTTCGCTACTTTATCACTGAGGACAAAACTCCGTCAATACTTACCTTGATTCAGCCGTGGTTACAATATGGGCGGTCCTGACACCCAGAAGAACGCCCGGATTACATTCCAAAAACGGTGCAACAGTAAAAAGGAAAGCCCATCAGCTTTCGGAAATTTGCGGTGCGAGTATACCTCCTCATTGAGCATCCACGAGAATACTTTGTCTACAACTCTTCCTATGACGTCTCGTGGCCGCCTCCGGACGAAATAGTAGGCGTTGAAGAACCTCTGGTGCAAGGAACCCTGCTAAAGCGTCTCATAGGAAGTGCACTACCCTAAGCTAAAGCGAAAGAACTTTAACGACATGAAAAGCTTGCAGGGCAGGCCCTTTCGTGATTCCAACCGGCTCAAACAGTATTTTGCCACCAGAGTGAGCTTCTATCTTCTCTTATGGATCTCCATAAGGTTGTGGATCTCAAGGAGAGATTCCGGGTAATAGCCGGCCAAAAGACTAGGTTAATTAGCTTAATTTACAGTTCGATTCCTGTAGAGCAGCAACGGCGATGCTTCTAGGCATATTTGATTCTTCGAAAAGTAATATTTATCCCGGGGAGAAGACAGAGTGAAGCTTTGGTTCATCTAGGGGCTCGTTCTGTGTCTAGTCTAACCATTGTAGTTAGCGCGAAAATGATGGGTCGGACGACAACTGTTCTTCGCCTAGGTCTATTAGAACCTCAAGTCCCATCCAATTTGTGGTCCAAGTCTGGGCAGTTCATCCGCCACGCTTTGCACATTCTTGTCACTAGAATACAAGTCAGTTGAGAGCACGAGATACATTGTGTGAAAGACATACCCTCTTCCACTAACACAGATCACAACATCTTCGTCTTTCCTCATTGTCCTGGCCATCTCAACACCGCCATAGATAGCATGAGCAGATTCGAGAGCGGGAATGATCCCCTCCAACTCACTGAGCAGCTTGAACCCCAGGAGGGCTTGAGCATCGGTAACGGCAATGAATTTTGCGCGTCCCGAGTCTTTCCAAGCACTCAGCTCCGGCCTGTTCAGATGGTTAGCAACATGTATCCCCAAAGTTGTGATATTATTGATCACGTGGCACATCAGGGAAATATGCAAACTCTACTCACCCAACGCCGGCATAGTCCAGACCAGCTGAGATGGAATGGGTATCTTGGATCTGTCCGTGCTTATCCTGCAGCACATATGTCCTACTCCCATGCAAGACCCCCTTTACTGCTGCCAGTTAGACTAGCGGCATGCTTTTTCGTATCAATGCCGTCGCCCCCGGCTTCGACTCCCAGGAGCTTCAGCTTCACGCTTGGATCATTAATAAACGGATAAAACATTCCTATAGCATTACTGCCCCCACCGATGCAGGAAACAACCCCATCCGGTAGTTTGTTTCGTTGTTCCAGCAGTTGTGCCTTCGTCTCCTCTCCAAGGACAGTCTGGAACTCGCGCACGATCGTGGGAAAGGGGTGTGGACCAATTGCTGAACCGATAATATGATAGGCGGTGTCCACCCTCGTAATCCAAACTCGGAAACTTTTGTTTACGGCATCTCGAAGAGTTCGTGAGCCTTGCTCGACAGGGATGACCTCGGCACCAAGTAGCTTGATACGGAACACGTTCAGTGCCTGTCTCCTGAAATCCTCCTATAGAGCTGTTAGATATCAACTTGCAACGCTGTTCCGAGCGTGTGGACTTACTTCTCCCATGAAGATTTTGCACTTCATGTCGAATTTGGCACAGACTGTGGCAGTTGCTACACCGTGCATGCCAGCACCGGTTTGAGCAATTATCTCAGTCTTACCCAAGCGGCGGGCCAGCAGAATCTGCCCCAGAGCGCTGTTGATCTTATGACTTCCAGTATGGTTCAAATCCTCACGCTTTAACCAAATATTGGCTCCGCCAGCATGTTCAGTAAGGCGGCCTGCGAGATGAAGATGCCCAGGCCTTCCAATATAGGAGTAGTATGATCGCATTTCTGCCCAAAACTCGGGGTCATTCCGAATTTTATCAAATCCTGCCTCCAATTCTGAAAGGCATCTCATTAGTGATTCGGGGGCATACGAGCCTCCAAATTCACCAAAGCGCGCAGAAAAGAGTTCTGGATCCCCTCCCTCAGAACTCACCATTGCTTCCATTTTATCAAGCACTTCTGCCTTTTCGCCATTCGTACGATTGGTACCATTCATCTGCAAGGTACCGTTTGGCTCTTGGGCTCCATTCGCTGGCAAGTTTCTCCTTCCACAGATCGCAGCGCAGTATTCCTCAGCAGCTTTGGCCCGCTCTCCAGGAGCGGCCTCGGTCAAAGTTGTGATAATTTGACTGCCGATGACGACACCATCTGCGATCTGGCTACACTGAAGAAGTGCTCCCTGGTACTGACACCGAAACAAACTGCTGCGGGGACATTGCCAGAGTATTGCTTGATGCGTCCCAACAGCTCCGGTAGACCGGAACTTAGAGTACCTGTTACACCCGTGACGCCCATACGTGATATCACGTAGACGAAGGAGTCCGCGAGCTGGCAGAGGAATTTGAGTCGGCTCTCGGTAGTGGCTGGAACAAAGTGTTAGAAGCTAGACAAGTCCGACAAATCATGTGAGAAGGGCTTACAAGGAGCGAGGAGAGGTACGTATGACAGTCTGTATGCAATTGTCAGTGAGGATCTTTTATCATCGAGGTATTATGACTTACCCGCCCTTCGCACAGTAATTCCTGAGTTTGACAGCCTCGTGCGGGGGAAGGTCCACCGTCCATCACAATGAAGCCATTTACACCAGCCTCACGACAATCATCCAACAATCGCTCCTCACCATAGCTCAGGAGTGGGTTGTAATAACCCATTAATAGCACCGGTGCTCTGAGACCTCTTTTCCGAGCTTCCCTTACCAGCCCTAGGGTCGTGTCTATAGTGACATTGTTCGCAAGCGCTTTTTGTACATCTGATTAGCAAATGCGTAGATACCCTATGGGACCCACGAACATTGTTTGCGCTTTGAATGGTAGGCACATCCGCGAAGGGGTCCGTGAAAGGCTGCGTTGATGTTAGAACAATGAGAGGGTATCAAATAGACCAGTTGACTACTCACAACACCGAGTTCAATGATATCTGCAAAAGGAAAGTTAAAATTGAAGTACGTGGGTCAATGGAGTCGACATATTGCATACCTGCACCCCCAGCTTGCAATCCCAGTATAATATCTACAGACTCCTCCACTGTGGGATATCCAGCTGTGACAAAAGTCACAAAGGCAGGCTATATTAGAAGTTAGCAATGCCTTCATGACTTCGGGAACGTCATGTCAATTCACATAGCTTCCGTCAAAGGAGTACATACGCGGCTTTCAGCTTTGCACCGCGCAAATGTTTGCTTAATACCCTCCGACATATTGAAAAGAACGAAGTTTCTCGCTGACCGACTGATTGAATTAGAAAATACTCAAGCTCAGCTCGGAGACTCAGAGCCAGCTGTTGCGGAACATACTATATCTAGACATCTGGATGTATCTGGGCAGTCGACCAACTGGGCCTATCGTGCCGCCATGAACCACTCGAGTTGATCATTTTGAGCCAGGTGGCCTTTTGATCAAGTGGATAAGGCCCCCCACACTTGCACCAGGTACTTATCCGATGCGACTCTATCGATGACAGGAGGATTAAATGACTCCACTCCAGTGTTTCTGTGCCCTCCGTCGTACTCCGGCTCCCCTCCATTGCTTTTCTCTGTGTTGTTGGGGGGTGACGGAGTGGGACGGTGGGCACAGCTACTTCCTGCCTGCGGGGATAGCGGCCTAATCATATAATCATGTTGCCTTCCTAGCCTCCGAGGCTGAAGATACTTGAGTCGCGAAAAGGATTCCAGGGGCTTGAAGGTTTCGAAGTGCTTAGAGTATTTCAGAGTTTGCTCGTGTTGTAACCTCACACATATGACACCTTCGGTCCTGCAAGTGCTTCTCTCGAAAGTGTCGTAGAGTCAACTTGGATTCGCTATATTTCTGCGTCCGGCGATGAATGGTAAGTTCGGTGATGCCATAACATTGAAAACATCGCCAAGGCATCTTAGCCTTTTTGATATAATTTTCGGCTTTCACAAGCAGAATATCCTGCTGAAAATTTACAGCAAATCAGAAGTGGTCTAAGTTACTTTTACCGGCGACATGACATTCATTTCTTGCGCTAGTTTGCTCATATCAGGCAAGTGTCTTGGCATGCGAATATAAAGCTAGGCACGTCAGCTGGGACTTTGCTTCACATCGCAGGCACCACCAAGAAGAGGATCGGCACGTGGGCTTCTGGAACCTTCGAGTGAAATGGGACCATGCCACCACCAAGGTGGAGAAGGAGAACCAGCAGGACCAACCACACATTGCATTTTCTATGCTTGCTCCTAGAATAGCAACACCAAGGCCATCGAGAGCGCGGAGACTTTAGCTGTCCACATCTAGGGAGAGGGAGGGCAATAGAATGGCCTTAGCCATCCACCAGTTGCTGCTGTGTACGGTGACGGCTTGAGAATATAGCCGAATACCTATCAATAAAACGAAACACTGCAATGTTTGCGTCTTTGCGCGTTCAGCTCCATGGCCCCGCCTGGGCAATTCGCCTTCCCATTAAGCTATTCCTACGGAGTACATCGCAGTCTCTACGTGCACAGTAGCAAGGCAGTCAATGCTTAATTTCACGTCGAAAGGGTTCCACGCTCCCGGCTCCCTGTTGGGTTCTTCTTCAGTCAGTCGTATTGACCGCCGCTCCATACAGGGGCTATTCCAGCTCCTAATCTCTAATGTTTTATCCCATTCAGCCTACTAGGCGTGTTCCCTCGCATCTATAACCTCCTCTCTCACAACATAAGCTCCGTCCCCACTCGATCTCTGTATGAGAATTTTGGGAGTACCTTGATTATATATTTAGAACTAGGAATGGACACCAGGCAGTCAATATTCTTAGCGCTTTATCTCGACAATGCATATCGGCCGGGACAGCATTCATATAATAGCCGATAATGACTCCTGAAAAGCTCCCTCAGATTTCGTTCTGCCCGCCCGTTCCTCCTTTAAAAATCGGAGGCGGTCATAATCCACTTGTCTAGAAGATCAAACACGAGGATCCTTCTTAGACCTATTTAGAGGGCGGCCCTCGTGCGGCCCTCATCCGCCCTCATTTGCATTAAAAAGGTTGACCTTTCCTAATTTAGGCGTATAAAACTGCTAGGTCATCTTAATAAATTACTGTTATTTAACACTATTCTGGTTTAAATATTAGTTTTATAATCTATTTCTTTATTAGTATTAAGAAATTTTAAGAAATAAAGTTGTATTATAATTAATCGTAGTAGGTAATAGTGATATTATAGATTTTTAGTCTCTTTAAGAAAAGTAATGGCTAGTAATTTTAAATGTTGCTAATTCTATAAGATGAAGTTGGAGAAATCATGGTAGTACTTACATAGTGTATACTCTCTAAGTAACACACTTTTTTTTATTTTTTTATACTTTATCTATAGGATAATCTAGCTATTATACGTAGATAGTAATCTGATTATTTTATTAAATTTTTATACTACTAAGCTGTAAACAGAATACTGAATAACACCGCCGAAACCTGCATACTTTATGCATCTAAGCAGATTTCCATGTCTGTCATATTTGTCGGCCCTCAAAATGTTTGGAGGGCCGCCCTGGGAGGGCAAGAAAATAACCCGCCCAACCCGCGGGCGGGTTTGAGACCTAGGAGTAACGGAAATAGGGAAGAGCGAGTGAAGGTAGTGCAAATCACTTAAGGGGTCTAACTAACTAGTCGCGCCGAGAGTAACGTAAGTGGCAGCTTAGTGATCCGGATAAATTGGAAAAATGCCTCACTAGATCAACCTTGGAGGTAAGAAACGACGACCGTATAGGGTGATAGGGGGGCTTTTATAGAACCACGCACGGGAACGCAGACGGACGAAGAGCCTTCAGGCGATCAAGAAGAATTAATTATCGTAATTCGTTGTCCCCATCTGATATGGTGTAAACGGAGGTGATGATGGAATAACCACGGTTTGGCGTGGTGTTCATTCACAAGATCGTGGTCTTTCTACCTTGTGTCTTTGGCCAACTGGATGTTGCGCTAGCGTCAACGCTACGCCTAGCTAGGCTTAGTGAGTAAAGAAATGATTGGCCGAAACAGAATCGTGAAAGCGCTTCAATCGTGGCCATGGGTGTAATAACGTAAAAGGGCTGTGTCTGTCTGTTTTCGAGAACTTTTCTCTTTGATCATTCAATATTTTCTTTGCAAGGCCTACAAAGCACACGGTGGCTATTGATTGGAATTCGTTTATTCAAGAGCCGGACCTGGAAGTGAAGGCTGATCTTGCGAAACCGACAAGAGATAAAATGCGAGAAGCTCAAAATGCTCTTAAAAGGTTCCTCTACTTCCTCATATCCGCAACTATCTATCTGACACTATAGCAGATTTACAAGCAATCTTAGTCCACCAGACTATGCCTACTAGCTCTAGGCTGAATATCTCATATTGAAAGTCATTAGAGGCTCCTTCCGCTAGTATCGAGTGGAGAATTTCAGGTTGAGGACCGAAAAAGTGAGTGTCTAGGTTTTGAAGGGACTTCTAATCGTAGGCACCATGCTTTTGTCTAGCATTTGGTATTCAGATCATATCTGTCCAGATTTGACTGGGTCGATTTAATTCTGGGGGCATGGGAGGCAGGTGAAGAGAAAGGGGAGATGCAGGAAGGACAAGGTGTCAAATATTGGAAATGAAAAATAAGCGAATTAAGCTAATTCAGCAACATGTCTGTTCTCCCCTTGCATCTCCGCATGAATATCCAATTTTGAGGCCAGCTCAGCACGCGCTTCTCCTGGTAGTTCAGATGGCTCCACAAGGGAGCTTGTCGATTTTTGGCCCTCTTGTAGTCCCTTCTTACGCCGAACCATCATGTACCAAACAATGGCAATAACTAGAGCCAGTGCGACCACTCCACCCAACACACCACCAGTAATAGCACCGGCATTTGTATGACTAGAGTTGTCATTTAATGTTTGAGACGAAGCTGATTGAGATGTAGTCGCCTGAGACGAAGCATTATGTGAGTCGGTAGTTTCGGATTGAGGAACGCGTTTCTGTATCAAAGAGGCCAGCGTAGCATCTGCAAACCCGGCGGCGGGCACCGTAACAGTGGCTCCTCCAGTAGGCCTATAAAGATAATTAATTTAAATCATATAAGAAATTTGGTTCAAAACTTACCCCCCGCCGATCTGCTCATAGATTATGGATGGCACATCATAACTAGAACCGGTATTCAAGTCTGTTCGCCACTTATATGTCGAAAGATCCAGAACACGCACAGGCTCGAACGTGCTGCTACATGCTCCGTCTGTGAATAAATACGCGCCAGCGCGTACATCGCCTCCAAGAACGACCATTTGTGCACCCTGGAACAATTGACATTGACCGATTGAACTGCGACCAATAGTCGAATTAACTTGCTGCTCTACATTAGTCTTGTTCGATAATTCGGTCGCATCTATCCATTGGAAGGATGGAATCGTAAGAATTCGAACGTCTTCGTATGCACGCTGATCTGTCAGACTCCATCCACCGTATACTGTGATGTGGAATGCGCTGCGGTCGGCTGACTCCGTGGCAACAGCACAGAATAAACCTAGGTCATCGGGTAGGTTGTCACCAGACGCCTCTTGTGACCACCATGTATGAGAGGCGATGTCGTATACATATATAGTATTCCACCTCGCAGGAAAAGGCCAGCCTGAAAAAGGACTTATTCCATGAGTGACCTGATACTTAAATTAGCAAGGTAAGAAGGGAGGATAATTTAGAATCGCGTCGTCACGCTAGGTAGAAGGAAGACAAACATTTCCCCCTCCAAAGCTGATGAGCATGCCCTCTGTGCCAGCTGGAATATAGACCATAGTGCCAGCATTTAGATTTGGCACATCGATGCCGTATGATCCGTTATTGAGCGTCTCATTCGTCCAGGAAAGATTGTTGGGATCGGATGCATCAAATCGTAACATGCCACCAATATAGGGACTGCTCCCACCATAGATAAACCCAAGACCTAATCCTGGAACACTGGCAGTTTGTGCAACAGACCGATTCCCGAAGTTGAAGTTACCACCACTCACTTGGACATCTTTCCATCTGCCAGACGAAACATTATAGGAGGAAACACTGTCGATGGCGGTATCAAATCCTCCACCGAAGAAGTACATAGTGTCATTCGTTCTCCAAATTGCACCGTCATGTCCTGGATATTTGGTCATTTGATATGCGACACGTATGTCGGAGCTGATAGGATCGGTATTGAGTGCCGAATGGGGAATCGCTCTCTCAACGGGGAATTGACTGTTGAGATCCATATAATATAATGTTGAACCTGACTTCTTAGTGTCGCAATTGATTGGCACGGCTTGGTAGAACTTACTAGGTTCGATCACTTGGCCATCGTAGGAAACTGTGCTGTAATTACCGCTCATAAAATACAATCGATCGTCCATGAGGCTAGCTGCCAGCGAATAAATAAGCATCAACAAACTGATTTCGAGCAAACACACTGACATACTCCGAGGCCCAGAGACGTAGCATATATCACCTGCGGAACATAATGCCTGGCGGGACAAGGCCAGGGCCCCGATAACTGCAGAGATCCATGGTCTCATGGCTCGGTGTGGCTAAATGGCGACGTAAAATGGTGTTCGGGGTAGAACGGTGTGTAGGGAAAATTCCATTGAGGATCACACCGTAATAAAGCATGTGGAATTAGACCCCTTATCACCCGGCTTGGGAACGGGTCTCGCCTGCTAAATGAGAATCATTGCCATATTTGTTGAGGTTTGGCGGCTGGAGAGGGCGGACCGGCCCCCAATAATGGAGACAGTGGAGTAAATCCTCCCCCTGGAAGTAACGTGATCATTCTTGGGCACTTTCACACGTGATGTCTCGATAGTTGACTATTTAGATGTGATCGCTTATGCATTAACCCGTTGGTCAAGACCCCTGCGAGCGCCAATGAATCACATTGGAGGCGGTGTTACGAGGCAAACGGAACAAGGATAGGGGGGAAATCTTCTACTTTCAGCGGCTTTGGCCATCTAAGGCGTAGTCAGTAATTTGGTAAGTCTCATACTACAGATTTTATCATGGCTTAAAGAGAGTCTTTGTAGCGCATACAGACGAGAGCGATTATAAAGTTACGCAGTAGGCTATCGTGTGATATTTCATTATAGTACATTTCGAAAACCTGAAACACGCTAGAGCAAATAGGGAGTAATGTGTTTCAAAACAGGGTTCGAAAAAGAACCTTCGTGTGTAAGGTGGTGAAACTGATTTCGATCCATCCTGTATCGCTCGCGTACCATCACTAGACTTCACACACTGCCTCGTGATCACCCGATATGGACGGCACTTCTGCGGGCGCAGAAATGTAGAAACAATGTCAGATAGTATGCACGCTTCCCGCTGGCAGAAGCTATAAAGTCTATGGACCTCGACAGGCTGAATAAATTGGAAACGATTGACCCGCGGCCGCTGCCGCCGTGGCGTGCCAATGCATTCGCGGAGATTGAGATCAAGTCAGACCGAGAAATAGCGAGAGAACGAGCGGAGACCGTGCGGTCTACATCTAATATTACTATATATTCGGATGCCTCGGGTCTTAAAAACCGTCTTAGCGCCGCCGTGGTCGCACTAGATCAAAATCAGAAGGCCGTGTAATCCGAACAAATCCAAGTGGGGCCGATAGACCACTGGTTGGTTCACGTAGCAGATTGGCCCACTAGCGCTTAAGCGACACGTGCGGACGTCTAATGGCGGCAACGATTCTATATAATAGTAAGTTAGCGCTACAAACAACCTAGAGCGTAAGAAACAAATCAGGATAACGGATTATCCACGCGATTCTCTTAGTAGCCGCCGAGGTCTAAGTAGAACACATCGCGCTTCGTCTCTAATAGATTAGACTGCGACAAACCCCATGGGCCTTGGGCTCTTGGGGCGGCCGATGGGCCTTTTTAGTAAGCAGAGTTGGTCGACCTCGTGATTTAGATTATTTATGCCATTTGATTCTGTATTCCTAAGTATTTTGGTTACAGTATTTCTAATAATTATGATTTATATACGGGCATATAATCCGGTTATGAATTTATATTCATATTTAAATTAATACCGAACCCATTCATCATCATCGGGTTTACCACGCTTCCTTGCCTTAAGCCGGCACAACTATCATGCTCAGACAGCAATATCTTCAACTGGATCAAGAAGGCTTGTCTGCAGCTTCTTGTAACCTCCTTCCTGAGACAGAACACGAACGACTTCATTGATGTCCTGAGATGCTATTTCATACACATCATGATAAAGCACATCCCAGATGTAGAGTTTATCGCTAGATTGGAAAATCATTGTGGAGGCATCGTCATCCTCCAATATTGGTCGACCCGGAGCAAGACCATAGCCTCGAGCAATCTTTTGACCCGCTGAATCGACACCATCCCACTCGTATTCAAAACTGGGGCTCCCGGGACGTGTCGTCCAGCCTGGGGGAACGATGAACTTCCCGAAATGATACTTGTAAGTGACTCGACTTGAGCTAGTAGGATTTCAAAATTTTCTTACTGGTGGCACGAGAGGAACTTTAGTGGTAGACTTGGCGGGCGAGCGAGCGGGCAAGGTGGATTTGGGAGGTGTCGGAGGCTAAGGAAACATAAGCGGCGTGGCTTGGATTAGTGGCATGTAGAAAACTCACAGGTGATAGAGTGACTCTGCCAAGCTGAGACATGATAATCGTGGTAGAATAGCTATTAGGAGTGTGAAAAAGTACTGATGAGGTAAGTTCAGAATAGCTCTAGGGCTGTTGATCTAAATGCCTAAGCTTCAACAGGTGGCGGAGATCAACGTGGAAGTGGGTCCGGGGGAAAATCATTCGCTCACGTGACCCTATCGCCTGGCCGCTGAGATTCTGTAAGGATCGCATGATTTCTATTGGATAGTACTAGCTACTATTCAGCTAAAGTTAGTTAACAATCCAAGATAGTTGAAGCTTCTGCGAAAACATCAGAGATCTGGCTGTTCTCATACGCCGATTCTCTAGTTCGGGATCTGTACCCCCTTCTCACATTATACTTATTGATCACAATTACTCTCTATATAATCTTATTCAAAAACAATCGAGCGCATACCACCAGAGGGTGTGAAAAACATATAACCCATATAGAGAGAACTGAAGATATAAAACTTCCAATAATTTAGCGACTGTCGTAATATTTGTCACAAGAGGATCCTAGGGCATTCAGCGATGCCAATTGTGCTTCATTGGTTCTTGCATCGCGCATTACACAAATCTCATAACGAGCTATACTCCGGTACATAGTTAAGCTATAAATCTTAGCACAGTCGTGGGTGCATCCATCCTCTATCGAATAGAAGATTATACTAGAGAAAAATAGAGTTCTCCAAATCAGATTGATCATGCCCGCCCAGAACCCCCGAGAGCTAAGACACTATCTCTGCAGCAGCGAGCACGGTCAGACCTCAAATTGAATAGTACTCACTCTCTTGGCTGGCGAGAACTGCCTCTTAATCCACTCCCAAGCAACGGTTTGGCCACCTAACGTGGTAGTGCAAGGAGGCACTGCGATACGGGCAATACGCCGGTCAACACTAACGTTAACATTGTCCCCTTGAAGTGACGGCGCGACGCCTCGACTAAGGTGGAAAGACCTAACCAACGACCTCACGGTGAATTCCCCACCCGCACAACTGTGCTTACCCATTACAGCCCTAGAGGAGCAACTCGAACTCCTAATACGTTCCAAGGCCTCGACGTTGGCATCTAAGTTCCTTCTCAAGGGGCAGGGTTAGAATCAACTTTCAAAGTTCTAATAAGGACTGTTAGAGAATGAACAGAGACCTAGCCGATTTTTATCTACTTCGCACTCGGACACGTCCGGTCAGGTGAAGTACCCCGGCAGGATCGCTTTCAGACGAGGCCTATCTGCCAATCATCTCCGTAACCAATACATAGTGCATAGGAATACCGCGCGAATGACCAACCTATTCGTTCATTTGATCCAACAACCACATCACAAAGCGCTGTTACTATTTCGAGAGAACTGCACTTCTACATATCGTCCGCGCCTAGTATCATTGCCACTAGCTTAATTGAGCTTTACTTTCCAGTCGTTCTATAGCCCAGGACAGAAGACGAGACGTGTAACGGATAAAGATCCTTACAAAGAGAATACCATGTCAGGCAGTCTTGGCAGATCGACCCCACGTCGTGGCCGATCCGAGAGGGGTTCATCACATGATATGCATGTCGACATTGGAAGAGATAGA